CACTGGGGTAAAGCCTGCCCCTGAATTCCAAGTCAGGATGAGCAGAAAGTGAACCACAAAAGGCAGTTCTGCCTTTGGATAAATCCCAGCCCTGGGCTCACTCACAGTGTGACACAGCTGTGCAATCCAGCTCCATCACAGCCCTCAACCCACAAAGGTAACCACGGCCCAGCAGCGCTCATCCCATCGTGTGCAGGATTTGCAGAGGAAGGGTAATGAAACACTCAGCACTTTGCATTGAGTCAGCACTGAGAACGGAACCTGAGCCCGACCTGCAGCTCTGCATCGTTTTCTTGGCTTCTGACCACCCCACAGTGAGGTCAGTTTGCAGAGAAAAGGTGTGTTTTTACAGCAAAGGCTCCTCCTGCCAGCTGCAATGAAACACAGCCCTGAGCTGCAGGGGATGCAAAGCTACAGATGGAGCTCTGGGCAGCTTTCCCTGCTGGGATACCTGTGCTGCTGGAGAGCCCCTTCCTGCACCCTCCTCCCCCCAGATCACTCTGACTTCATGCTAACTGCACCGTGCACAACTCGCCTTCAGTTCTGCAAACCAGCACAGGGCCATTCTGCCATCAGAAGCTCAGCACAGCCATACAGATGTGCTGCCCATCACCTCAAGGCCTCCAGGGGCCCCCATACACACAGCTATTGCATCTCCGGGCAATGGGGATCAAGGGAGAGGCGAGGAGGTTCATCCCTCCTCAGCCCCCAGCTGACTTCATTTCACCTCCCTGGCCCTCTTCTCACCCCCGACTCCACATCCATCTCATCGCATCCCTGCTGAGAGCTCACGCTGTCCCAGTGCTCAGCACCCCCACTGAACCACATCACAGCAGGTGAGGAATCTCTTCCCCATTGCTTTGCTCGCTGCCTGACATTTCCACTTGGCCAGATGTGCTCAGCTGACAACGTACACAGCTGGCCAGATGTGTTCTGCACCAGGGAGTTCTCAGGAAGGAGCATTCGAGAGAAAGAAGGAGCAGAGCTGCTTGTGGACCACAGAGCTGACACACCTTCACAGCAGAGCCGTGCCAGTGCAGCCAGGATCTCAGCCAAGCTCGGATCAGACACAAGGAGAAATGCAGGAAAGAACTTCACCGCCCTGAACACCCCCAACTTCTCCGTTCTCAGCTTCAGAAGTGCATCCCCAGCGCTTCTTTGCAATGAAGACAGTGCCATGCAAACAGACCTCCAGGCCAGCATGAACACACACAGTGCTGAGCTGGACCCCGATTCGAGGCTCACAGAAGAGGCTTCCTTAGATCTGAGCAGCTCGAGGAATTTCACTTTGCAGCTGGTGACTTCAGCAGTGATGAAATCCATCCGAAATTCCAGCAGGTGCTTCCAGGTATCCAGCCCAGGCCAGGAGCCGCTGGGAGCCACGCAGCAAAGGGCTCCCCAGCACCGAGCAGAGCTTCAAGGCACACACACCACCCAAAGACACGAACACGGGTGGTTTTGTCACCCTCTGCTAAATGCTGAGGCTCTTCCATGAACAGCAGAGCTCGCTGCAGAACCTCACCTGCCCCTTCAGAGCACAGCTCTGGCTACAGGCCCACCAGCACAGCACCCACAGCAGCCCAGTGGGCGGCTCTCAGTCTCATTCGACTTGCAAAGGAAATCCACTCGAGCCCCAAGGCACAAACATCTCTTCCAACCTCCAGGATGTTTTCTGCAGGCACTTGCAGCCAGAAGCAGCTCACAACCAGCAGATCTCAGAGCGAAACAAAGCTCCAGCTCGCACATGGAGGCCCCTCCTGCCACATTCCATCCCTCAAGATCCCTCTGCTCATCTCGAAAAGGAGCACACGAGGTTTCCTGAAGGGCCACGGTGCTCCAACCACCAAACCCCAAGGATGGAGGGCTGCACAGAACAGACAGCAAGGGGCGGCAGCGCAGGTCAGTGAGGCACAGCAGGCTGCCTGCCACGGATCCCAGAGCTCCATGCAGCACCGCTGGCAGATGAACGGGGACATCCCTGCATTGCTCTGCGTGGATTAGCAATCCAGCTCCTGTGACTGCTGCAGTTTCCTCCCTTTCTTTTCTGTCTCCACGGGCAGGGAGGGCCCTGCCAGCAACCTACATGTTGGTGCTGCAGGGCTGTGCCTGCAAACAGACAGAGCCAGCATGCCTTGAGCCCAAACACCACGGTTAACCTGGGGGGGGGAGGAGGGACTGCTGGAGGGGCAGAAAAACCTAGAAAGCCACGTAGATGGCATTGCAATGCAATGAAGAGATCCATTGGGAGCTGCTGCCTTTCTCCCAGGACATCAGCAGTGCTTCTGGCAGCAGGGAAGGTGCTGAGCCCAGCGCTCCCATCCACCTGGCTGAGGAGCAGGCACACAAGGCAAAGCAAACTGGGAAATACTGGGCAAAGCAAACTGGGAAATACTGGGAGCTGGGCAGCAGCCAGCGCCCTGATTCTTTCTCGACCAATTCATCAAGTGTCAGAGTGCTGTTAGGTTGCTACAGAGAAATTAGCAGCCCTCCCAACAGCCAAGCCTCAGTGGCGCAGAGGGTTGGCAGAATACCTTCGTTCTGCTCAGCACAAACCCAAAGCTTTCCTCAAGCTTCACAATAGCAATCCTATTGGGAAACAAGGGAACAGCCATCCCGGGCACCTCCCTGCAGACGCTGCTCCCTGATCCAATTCTCAGCACACTGCAAAGCCAAAGGGATGCATATGGAAGGCTGAACACTGCATGAGGGTCTCTAGCAGTGATGCCAGGCACACACCCTGGTGCAGCTGGAAGCATTGGGGCAGTTTGGAACCCCTGTGCTGATGGGCACAGGCTGCCACAAGAAATGGCAGAGGTTCCATCTCCAAAGCATTTGAAACGTGGCTTTCTGCTCTTGTTCCTGGCTGGCCAAATCCCAAACGGGAGAGGATGAGGATGCAACAGGCATGGTGGAATAGAGGGTGCTCTGAAAGGAGGCAGAGGAGCACCAGAGGACACCCACCTTACAGCTGCATCAGGTGTCCCTAAGTGCATCCAGCATCAGCATGGAAAAGGCAGCATTTTCATCCTGGGAGGAGCGCTCTCCTGGACAACAGAGCACAGACCTGCTGCCCCGTGGGTTTCAGGAAGGAAAATAAGGAAAGCTGCAGCACTGCTGCTCAGGACAGCAAGAAATCCATTCGCTCGTCCCACCTGGGTGCTGCTGGAACCGTGGTTTGTTCAGCACAGAGGGCACAGAACGGAGCAACAAGGCTGCCCGGGTCCACAGGAGGAAACAAGGCAGGGGAGGAAGCCTAAATTAGCACCGTAATTACTTCAAGCAGTGCTTTAAAAGGGTGAGCAACGAGGGAGGGAGAGACAAAAGCCCACACTATTGCCTCGTGTGTTCAGAGCCAAGCCCATACTCCAGGCTCGCAGCTCCAACGCTGCATTTGTCACCTGCAGCCCCTCCTGGGGAGCTCCAGAGGGGCACACGCGAGTCCTGCCGCCTCTGCCTTCATCCCAGCTAATCCCAGCTGATGAAGAAGAACAAAAGTCCCCATCTGATCCGCAGTGCCACCTGCCCTCCTGGCACAGCTCCCCCCGCTCAGCCCACCTCCCACCTTTGCATGGGATGGCACTTCTGCAACGACTGCACCTTGCAGCTGCTGCTGAGCAGCGACAGCAGGGCTGGACCAGCAGCTCTCAGGGAGGAGCAGCCTTCATTTCCAGGCTTCCTAGCGCAGCAAGCACGCCCTGCACTTTCACTCATTAACACAGGCAGGTCTGATTTAGCCCAGGTTTCCCAGGGCTCAACGCCTGCTCGCTCTGCTGCACGAAACCACGACAGTCCTACAGCACTGGAGGTCTCTCGTTCTAAGCTCTGCTTTCGAGACCGATCCGCCCTAAAATCCGATCCTGCAGCACTCGGGCCTGATGGAGGACAGCCCCAAAGCACCAACCTGGGGCTCTGAAAGCAAACCCCACCTGCATCTCCATCCCAGAGCCTTCACCTCCAAAGGCACGCAGAAGGAAGCAGCCAAGCATCCTTTGCACGCCATCAGAGCCACGAGAAAAGCCAATGCTTTCACCAGGTGTGAATTACCTCCCCGGGAACCTGCAGCTGGATCAGCCCACAGCTCGCTTTGCTCCCCGGCATAAAGCAGAAGCATCTCAAGAACCGAAGGGATGAACAAAGCGTAACTGGGTTGGGTTATTTCTCGTCCCTAAAGGAAATGCATTTTCATGCTGCTCTCCTTCGGGAAGGTGGGAGCGGTTCTGATGGAGCATAAAGGGAAAAAAAAAAATCGAACAGCAAAAGGGAAACGCCTTCAGCATTCCGAATGGGGTTAAAAAAAAAGGAAAAAGAAAAAAAAAACGGGGGGGGGGGGGGGGAAAAGCCTTCGGTGGGTATCAGAGGATATCCACGGGTGGGCATCCATAGGATGGATGTGGGCGGGGATGGGGCGCCGGACCCCCACCCGGATTACCCAAAATGGGTCCATTTTTCGTTTTTTTTGTTTTTTTTTTTCTTTTTCCCC